GTGGAGGACTGATGAAGGCAGAGAGTCGTGGACATAGAGGCTGCCTCAGGTCTGGATGATCTCCTAAAGCTACACACATGGCTTAACACAAGCACAGAACCACACACAACAAAAAACACATACAGTTTTTCCCCATGAACTTCCTTTGACAACATTTAAGTATTTTACACCTGCTCATATGTGCACTGTGCTACCTCTTGCAAAGCCATATTTATCTTTTTTTTCACCCATTACATTTTAATGCCAATTCAATGATTATATTGTTTACTGTGTGCCCTTTCCTTCAATGTGAGCCACATCCAAAACAAATGACCAATTCCTATTGAGGGATTTTTTTCTATTTTTTATTTACTGACTTTATCTATAACCTCACCCTGGGTAAGTAAACTTAGCTAACACGCAGTTTGTGGCTGTTACTCACCCTTTAATAGCAGTTTTCTTCTCAGCTGCAATTCTGAAAATTATTTTCATACTAATTACCGAGTTGTTGGCTCAAGTCACCTCAAAGAAAATAGTTATTGCTTGTTTTTAGCTTGTCACTTCCTCAACGTCACTCAGGATTAGCAAAAATGATTAATTTACCTTGTGGCAGGTAAGTTTTCCAGTATAAACTAAGTACAGGTGTAGCTAAGTATAAAAAATAACGAATTTATAACCTAGCTGGCTCAAAACTCCAATATCTTATTAGAAAAACACAACCGACATTAAAATTAGCTAAAGTTAAGCTAACTCATCAACCGTTAACAAGTTGCTGCCCGTATTCTCCAAATATCGCGAGAAGAAGAGCACCTACTTCAGAGCCAGGGACGTAACCTGGGAACTCCTGAATCCACGGCAACCCAAGACTGTAGGTATTCTTCACATCGTAGCAAAAAAAAAAAAAAACACACGACTCTTTCATTTTCTTTTCGTCACAAACAGAAAAAAACTCAACATATTGTGCTTTATACATGAATTGGACACAATCAGAGAGAGAAATATTTTTTTAGAATGAGATATATGATATAAATACGCCCGTGGACTCACAAAATAAGTAAAATTGCCTGTAGCAACTCTAAAATCAGTGCGTTCCAGTATATAGAGATTGAGTATACTGAATTATATATCTCATTTGCACCGCGGTAATTCGTCCAATGAAGGCATGCTTTATTTTCCTGAAGCACCGCACTGGAAGCAAAAATAATACAATAAAATAAAATGAAAAACAGAGACACAGAAAACATGGAAGCTGTGATGTTATAGATATATACTTTATTAATTCTCTCTGATAAAATAAAATTACAAAATAATTTCAACCTCAAACGGCACTTCCCTTGTTCATAATTATTTAACGTATTGTTAATACATATATCATAATTGTCATGACGAATGAGAAGAATACTATAGTTTAATAATATTAGATATCAGCTATAACTGCGTTTAATCATAATGGTAGAAAAGACTAAGCAATACAAAGCTAGATTTCGTTAACAGCATACTATACAATATTCCAAGCGTATGTAATTCAGTATTCCGGCCACAGCGTGTCGCTATAAGACAGTATTGTCTCCAATGCAAGGGTAGGCTTGTCTGTTTTCCCATTACACCATTATAATTCCACTCAGATAAAGCTCAGTCTCTCTTTCTATGTTTTATTTATTTCATGAACAGCTGTTCCTTCATGGCCATTTATCCTTTAAAAGGTTTATTTGTGTTCCCTTGTGTTCATCCGTAGTCCACCTTGATCTGTTTTAAAGCAGTGAAGAGCAGTCCATGTACAGCACTGTAACAAGTCCATGCCCAGATTTTCACAGTTATTCCCTCAGAAATATTGTCAAGATATCTGTAACGCCTTCTGCTATCTTTTTTTCCCCAGTGACAGCAGCGTTCCCTGCCTCTTATTGAAGTCCATTTAAGAGAGAGCACTTTGGTTGTCGAGGTGTGTGTAAATCTGTGTGTGCGTGCGTGTGGGTGTCTGTTCCTGTGTCTGCATGGCAGTTTAAGTGATTGAACAAGCAAGAGTGTTTGAGTGTATTTCTCTACACAGAATACATTCATGATAACAGTGCGTTGTTTTGGGACTGCAAGCTCGAAAAAGAATGGCAGTAAGTAAGGTCTTCTCCCCTTCGTGAAGGGACACAGACACAACCGTACACTGTGAAAAAATATTAATCACATCAACTTAGAAACACACAGCTAAACAATTGTTGGATTCTTTTTATATAGTCAATTAAATTACCAATGTAAAAATCAATATTTTAGTAATTAATAGCAAGTAATATTTTCAGAGAATGAAAGCAAAACAATAGATACTACAGCATCCCAGTCGATCTGACTCCACTGACTTCAGACGGGTGAAAGAATAAACAGATCATTTATTATTGATGGATAATGTTTTGACTGTTATTTTACCTGTCTGCAGAACACTCACCAGATGCTAAGTTTGTGCAGAGCTCTGTCTCGTACAGTCAGTGTTCCTTTGAGATAAAGCAACCAGATTGACATGCCAGTTTAAAGGAACATTATGTAAGATTTAGGGGGATTTAGTGGCATCTAGCAGTGAGGATTGCAACTAGCTGAAACATCTCCCAGTTGGAATTCCTTCTGGACATTTTTACTCAGAGCCGAATTACTCGCAGAGATCTCCTCCTCTCCAAAACAAACTGACCAGGTGATCTAAACTGGTAAAAACACTGAAAAAAGCAGTTTCACGTTACAAATCAGTGTTTCTCTGATGATGTCTGGCATGGAGAAGGGCCGCTAGCTCAGCACCTCCTTATGTGCGCTCACCATTTTTCTCTGATACCTTAAGATCCGAATTATCTACAGAAGCTCATCCTCTCCACAACAAACAGACTTGATGATTTCAAACACTGAATAGAGCAGTTTCATGTTAAAAATGTAGTGTTTGCAACGCTCTTATCATGTAGGGACTGCTAAACTGTGGTGGCCAATGCAAAAACACGGAAACGTGACTCGCCCTATCTAAAGCCAGTGTCTGGTTTGTCCGTTCTGGGCTATTGTAGAAACATGGCCGACTCTGTGGACAAGGCCCTCCTCCCTATGTAGATATAGACGGCTCATTCTAAGGTAAGAAAACATAACAGTGCTTTTTTTCAGGTGATTACTAGAGTTTAGATTCTCTGCCCTAACCCGACCCGGCCGTAATTTCCCGCCACTATCCTTGGGCTCGGACAGGTGGGGCTCCTCATAATAGACCTAGGCTATGGAACCAACTACTTATCACACCTGCCCCCTTGATGGCGCCACTGGCCGTGCACATGTGAGTTGTTGACGGTGACAACGTGTGTGTTGGCTTCGTTGAGTGTACCAAGTGCAGTGCGATGCTGGTATATGACAGCAAAAAGACGGGGACCTTGACACTTAAAGGGAAATTTCGGTTTATTTCAACCTGTCTCCTATCGTCCTAAATTTGTTTCAAGTGACTAGTGACGAAAAATAATAGTTAGCATGTTAGCTGTTAGCCTAGATACAGCCGGGGCGCATTAGTAGCGTCAGACCTGTTAAAACGTAAGTGAATGGGCATACCTTCAAGTGCAAAGTTAGTCCACTAAACAAGCTTTTTTTCCACAAAGACCGCCTCATATCGTTAGGCTAAATGTCAGAGAACATATAGAAAACGACATGTAAACGTGTTGTCTTACCTTACCGGTGTGGTGCCATGTTTATCATCTAGCTCTGCTTTCCAAAGCGCGGCCGAAATATTGCGAGAACAAGCAGTGATCTCATAGCGTGCCTGAACAAGCAGCAATAGCTGGAAGGATACACTGACGAAGAGCTTTGTGAAACTGAAGAACGGAGGAAGAGAGAGAAAGAGAGAGAGGCGCAACAGGTAGAGGACGAATGGCTGCTGCAAGGCTGCTTAGCTCTGGAGATTGGTGGTGTACCTGTGAGGAATGCCTCTGTTGCAAGGAATGGGACCGGTTGCAGCCTTATTTTCAAGGTCTGGATGTGACCCAGGACGAGACACCTCCACCTGGAGTAACGTTAGTATCCAGCTGGGCTAGGAGACAGGTTGAAATAAACCGAAATTTCCCTTTAAGAGGCACATGATGAAGGCTTGCCATGGAAAGAAAGACGAGAGTCAGCCTTCAATGTCCACGCTCGTATCCTTAAAAAAAATGTCAGGTTGAAACCGGGCTCGGGCTCATAATTACAGTGAAAGGGACGGGCCAGGCTCGGACAGAACATGCACGGGCTCGGGTGGGGTCAATCTAAGCTCTAGTGATTATACACTAAAGAAAATATACTTATTATAAAATATTTCACTTGTGCCAATACATCCCCCCGAATCCTACACACTGAATCTTTAATTAAGGTTTTTTGCCATAATCTAGTCTTTCTTCCAACAACCATCCCAGCGTTAATACACTTGATACAACTATTAATGATCCATTTTCTGAAACATTCACAGAACTCAAACATAATCAAACTCTTCAAAGTCTCACTTCAGCACAGCACTTAAACATCAGTCCAGCTCCATCTAATCCAAGAAATGCAGTAATAAAGTCCTGCTGCAGTTGTGTCGGGGTTATTCTATCATCTGCGACTGTCTTCCTCGTCACAAACAGATGCTGCGGTGACTCATGTTCCTCTGTGTCGTACCAACTTATTTCGACTACATCTGTAATTCGTGTAGTTCAGTGAAGGGTTACGATTCTCCCAGCTGAGTAGTCAAAATATCACAACTATGCATTGTAAGTCTAAACTACTGCATTAGCTCACACCCACAAAAGATAAGTCGTTTGGATGAACATTTTTTACAGTGTGTCTACACTGCTTGGCAGTGCTCTGTGGAGATTGACAGTGCATTGAGTGCTTGGCAGTATAGGCTTAAGTATTATCTTGTGGGCTACTGCACACAGTTTCTTTGTGTGAGTGTAAATAGGGCCTGCATTGTGAAAGATTGTGTATTTATGTTTGTGCTGAGTTAACTTGTATTGCGTGGAGGATGCGTCAGTATACATTTTTGTGTGTGTGTGTGTTTGTGTGTCTGTGTGTGTGCAGTGCATGCCACTAGTTTTTTTTTTTTTTTTTTTAATATCATGGTCGTATTGATCGAACCTTCTGTTAAAGGGATGCTCGTTAACACACAATTAGCATTCAGATAGAAAATACATCATAAGGATAAAAAGTCATGGTCATTAATTCCTGATGAAGGGAGAGAAAGATTGGGAGAGAGGGAAGGAAAGAGGGGGAGAAAAGAAGAAAGAGAGAGATAGAGAGAGATAGAGAGAGACAGAGAGAGAATAAAAGGCCCTTTTTCAGTAATTGGAGTGGATTCCATTTAGGAGCTCTGAGTTCATATAATTATTCCTCGTTATTTCTCCTCCTCTCTCCTTCCCCCTCCTCATCCTCTCTACCTCCATTTCTCACCCTCTTGACATTCTCCCTCCCCTTACACATTTTAGAGTCTCCATTTTTTCTCCATTTTTCTTCTCCTTCCCTCGTCAAGGAAGGCGCCCCAAAGTCCCTAACATGTCTCATCATTCATACCGGCCCTCCATCTTAATCCTATTATTTCTCCTCATAGTCCTGTCTTCATCCCTCCCTCATGGAGCGTTAGTTTCAGAGGATCACCTCCCATCTCTCTCCTCCTCCCTCCTTGTTCCTCTCCTATAGTCTGAACTGAGAGGACTGGCACATCCCCCCTCTCCCCCTCCTCTCTCCCTGTTTTCCCTCCACATATGTCCTGTCCTGGTCCTCACAGCTGTCTTCAGCAGCTAGAAGTGCAGGTGTTGGGGTTGGGACAAGCCTCCAGGCTCCCCTCTGGGCTCAAAGGTGGGGGCGACAGAGGGGACTCCAAGGCCAACGTGGGGACTTGGGATGGGGGTGGTGCTGGAGATGTGACCTGGACTGGAGAAATTGAAGCTGAAGCAGTGGCTAAAGACGCAGCTGGAGACAGTGGGACCACAGCACCTCCCCCTCCTCCACCACCACCTCCTCTACCGTCCCTCGCATCCCTCTCCCGAAGCAAGTGGACCAGGGCGGCGTGCTGCGCGCTGAGGGTGGCCGAGAGGTGGGCAGGTAGGGTGTTGAAGCCGGCGGTGAGCTGCTCCACCCGCTGCTCCAGGGACAGCATCTGGCGCTCCAAGTCCTCGCTGCGGTCGTTGAGCTCTGACATGAGCTCATACATGACACTCTGCATCTGTGAGAGGAGAGTGGGAGATGAGTCACTGCACACAGAGTACTTTGAAGAAAGGAGACAGATTGCAAATGCGTAAACAGGAGTATTATCAGGGTTGTTTTATTAAAGCTTGTTTGAAGAAGATTCATTTGGACGGAAAGAGACGGCGAGAGGGGTTAGAGAGTGTACTAAAAGTGCAAAGAGGGCAAGCCTGAGGCTGGGGAGGAGTGAGTAAGACAGTGAGCATAAAATGTCCAAGAGGGAGTAGAAACGGGAGTGTAGAAGAGGCTGGAGGGAAGTCTCTATGTGGGCGTTATAACACTCTGAAGAAAGAGAGAATAAGAGAGAAGAGAGGGAGAATGAAAGGGAGGCAGCAGAGTGTCCCTGCCTTGCACATCCTGGCTTCCGTAACCATGGTAAACGCACAAGTGGCCAATTGAGATGGAGTCATTGAGATGGCATAATTGCAAAATATTTGGTGCTAAAGGCATTGCTCCTTGGAAAGACACAAACACACACACCCGCGCGCAATCTTTTTTTCCTGCTTATTCACTCGATCCCTCTCCTTTATTTCTCTCTCTCTTTCACAATCACACACACACACAAACACACACTCACACACACACACATGTGCGCTCACATTCTCACTCAGACACCCACACGGTAACAGAAAAACATGAGCACTCCCCTCCCTCCTCTCATTTCCTCCTCGCTCTCTCTCACTCAGTCATCCCTGTTTTAACACTTGTTCCGGTTGCTAGGAGACACAAAGCCACAGAAACGGGCAGGTCATCATTGAAACGGAGGAATGTTGTGGTATATTTTTGGGGGGCAAAGGCATGTTAGGTTCGAGTTACCAACCTGTCCGATGGTAATGTGTCTGTGAAGTGGATGTCCTACATAAATGAAGAGAACAGATGTGTGTCTGTATCACCTGTGTGTGTGTGTGTGTGTGTGTGTGTGTGTGACTCACCTTTGAGAGGTCTACTAGTGTGTTGGCCTGATCACTGAGTTTCCTCTGCTCCATTTTCACACTGCGTAATCTGCAAACAGATACACACACACACATTAAACACACGCACACACAAAGTGGAAACCCAATAAATACACAGTGGTCGGTCCAGAGAGCTAATCCCTCTGGGTCCAGACAACAACACTGTGGAGCGGTCACCTTGCCTAATTCAGCTTCATTTTTACTTGCAGTGCGTCGCTGGATTTGAATGCACGAACACAATGTGCTCTGAAATGCTCTAATTTTGTAATGAGGGTGAAAATATACATACATTTAATATTGAAATAAGAATGAGGCATTAAAGTCCCTGTAAAACTGAAGTTGGAGCGTCTTTAGCTTCTGTACTGTGACATATTTCCAAAAGACACTGATTATGGAGTGGCGCAGGAATGAGTCCTAAAACCCGGAAATTAGTTAGCCTTTTGGCACTGCCCTTGTCCCCTTGTCCCCTTGTCAGTGGCTTTTTAGAAAGTATTTTTGGTTGGATGCTTGAAATAAGGTCTGTGGTCAACCCTAGCTTACGAGCCTTCCAGTTTTCTTCTATGACATGAAATACACTGGTAAATACCCCACATGTGACTTTAGGTGACTTTAAAAAGTGGTTCCATGAGACCACAGAGAAACATCACGCTGACAGTTTACAGTTTTGCTGTAGCAGTGACGTTGAAATCATGCGACCATGATGTATATTGTTTGTTGCCTAAAGTTAGCTTTTTACTTCTGACAATTGCATTTAAGCTTTAAAAATCATAAAAGTGGTGTTCATTTGTGAAGATTATCTTGCTGAAAAAAAGTGTCAGTAATAAACTTTTGTTTGCCACAGAGCTTATTTTCTGCAATATTTAAAAATCCAATGGACAAATTCCATAGGCTTTTTGTTGAAGGAACCAGTGCGATGTTAACATTCCTGTTGGCCTACAAATAAACTTCATCCCTGCATCACTCTATTTGAGTGGCGTACAGTTACAGGAGGGATTTAAGACAAATTATTTGTATTTGATTGGACCACTAAAAAGTGGGCAGGCTTAGAGTTTAGCGTGATACGCAGCTACAGCAGAGTCCGCTGCTAAGCTGACTTTTGGCTCCACACACACCTCCCTCACCTGCAGAGGAGGAGGGAGAGATGAATGAATTATACTTCTGCCACATTGTTTTGAATATCTAAACAGATGCTTTCCATATTGTTCTGTTAGCCACTACAACCCACAAAACAGTGAAGTGCGGATTTATATGACTGATGTGGCTAGCTAGACGCCTACATTCTCATTTGATTGGATGAACTTTCATTAATTCCCCTGAGTGCAGGATCATCAAATATATGAAATGTTTAACAGACAGTGAAAAGACAGTGATTTTGTTGTAAAAATACTCTGATACTGTTGGTGAAGATTCTCAGTCATCCAGGTCACGGTAACTGATGTTAGAACTGAAGAAGCCTCTTGGATGAGAGGTGAAATGTCTTCAAGAAACTCAAGCAAGTCCAGCTGCCTACGAATTAACGCTCTGATACAGATTTTTTGACATATATTTGGCATAAAACAAGATATAAATATCAACTAACACACTTGGGAAATGTATTTTTAATATCATGGGGACTTCAAGCTCTAGAGTACATAAACAGGGTAGTTTTAAATGAACCATATTGTAAAATGTCAGATTTCCATCCAAAGAGACAAATGCACACAGTCCAAATCTTTGCCTGTAAACCAGACTAGACTAGAGCTTAGATGTGGAAGAACCAGAAAAGATGACCAATTAAGAGCAGAATGGGCTTTTTCAGGATGGATGCAAGAACAGAGTGTTTCAGAAAGGGTGAATACAGGTATATTCAAGCAGACAGTATGTGAAAAAAATTCTGTGTTTTTTGAATATTAAAGCATCTAACATATTATTTACCTAAAGATTAGCTTATTATGAGTCCTTTGATATTAACAAGCCTTAAGGGGAATCAGGCCTAAAGGGAAATCAATGAAATGGAGTGATAATAGATAAAATAAATCATCATCTTTCTTCAGTCCAATTAAAAATAAGACTTGGTGACTCTCACAAACACAATATAATAACTAAAGGTCTAATCTGTGTTTTCATAAAATAAACCCTGTGGCTTCCTCCATGATAATGAAGCACAGACTGATTTCACAAAGCCGCACCTCCAGATGAACGTGTCTCTCTGTTAACAGGACTGAACCAGAAAATGTACTCTATCCCCATAAAGTCACCCTGTTACTGTGTTCGCGGAGTCAGCCTCATCTCCGCCACAGTCCACATGCTTCAGGATTAGCCCCTCCGTGTCACAATTAAAAAGAGTCTTAGGTCTCTTGACTCTGGCTTTTGCAGGCTCTTGTTTAATGTTCACAAGCCTAGACCGAAGCATTTGCGATCAAAGGAGTGAGCGGCGTTCAAGGGCTGCTTAATTGTGATGCTAGACAGAGGATAAACAAAAATCTTTGAGTAAAACAACCTTTAACAAGACAACCACCCCTGTGGCCACGCAAATATAAGTAAACAATGGTATGGCGAAGCTGAATTACAATGCACTGTTAGAGGTCCAGTGTGTGGGATTTAGGGGGGATATTTTTTAAGTGCATGAACACTGGGATGGTTGTTGGAGACAGAATAGATAACAACACAGACCTTTAATAAAGGTCCAGTGTGTAGGATTTAGGGGGATATATAGGCTGAAATGGAATATAATACAATAAGTATGTTTTCTTTAGAGTATAGTCACTTGAAAATACGAATTGTTGTGTTTTCGTTATCTTAGAATGAGCTGTTTATATCTATATAGGGAGCGGGTCCTCGTCCACAGAGATCGCCATGTTGCACTGCCATGTTTCTACAGTAGCATAGAACATACAAACCAAACACTGGCTCTAGATAGGGCCATTCACTACGACAAGAGTGTCAGAAAAACACTGATTTGTAATGTGAAATTGCTTTATTCAGTGTTTTAATTACCTGGTACGTTTGTTTAGGAGTGGAAGAGACCTCTGTGGATAATTTGGCTTAGGGGAAAAACCTCCTGAACAAAGAACACTGAAGGTATTCTAACGGGGAGAAGTTTCAGTTGGTCGCAATCTGCTATTGTCACCACTAAATGTCACTATATCTTACACACTGCTCCTTTAAGTTCTGCTATATGTCTTTGTATCGCCAACAACACTCCTAAGTAGAGTACACAATGCACTCATTATCCAGTCCCACAACTGTATTTGCCTGGAGTGAACCTGCCCTTTAGCAGATGATGATTCATTTTGTGTGTCTGTGTGCATCTTTGTGTGTGTGTGTGTGTGTGTGTGTGTGCAAGGATTCATGCATTTATCTGATTATCAGCGTTGATTCAACTTGTGGGTGGATAGAAAGTACAGCTGATTTCAAAGGCTTCATCAGCTCAGCAGCACTGTTGTGTGCATGTGCTTGTGTGCATGTGTGTTTTTTTTTCAGCGTGTGGGTGTAAGGTGTGGTGTCTCACTGATGTATAGCCTGGAGGAACTTCCGCTGGTGTTTGCGGACTCTGGAGTGGTCGATCTTCTTCATCAGCTTGGTGTGTTTGTAGATGAGCCAGGTTTCCCTCAGCACGTTAGCCGCTGCGTTCTTTATCTGCTCGCAGACAATAAACACACATACGCACACGTTGTTAGCAACAGGTAGCCCTTGGCAACTGAAGCAGGCAACAGGTTTACCCAGCCCTGGTGTCTTTCTCTTTTTCCCTCCATTCTCCATTGTCTCCCAGCAAAGAAAAAAAAAACCTAAACCATCGTTCTCTTCTTAGAGGCTGCCCTCATTCTCTCTGTCTCTCTCTACACACCGGCTTGCTTGCCAATGCTTTTCATGCGCGCATAAACAGCTCTCTCCTTAGGGAGATTTGGCAATGAGAACCAACAGGAGTCTCTCCCTCACACACACTTCTCTCCTCTCTTGGTCTGTCTATATGCCACATTATATGTTAGACTAACTCTAAGGGGCTGCATTATCTCGGATGGTTGGAAGTAATTCACTAGAGTACAACTGCAGTTCATTAGAAGCAGTGATCTTCCATTTAATTATGACAGCAACTGAAAGAAACAATGGCGGCATGAGTTGCTGCTCTTAAACTAGCTGTCAAAGACGGTGCTCGTCCCTGCAGATGAGACATATTACAGGAATAGCCTATGTAATGATGCTCACTCATGGAAAGCCTGATAGCCACCCAGTGTTAATAGCAAAGTGGCCAATTTTCTACGGTTTACTGGACATGGGCTTCAGTTGTTTTTAATATGTACCATCTGAACATGTGATTGCTGTGATTTCATGAAATGGCTTCACGTCGATTTCTGTGGACAAGGATCATGATTCTGTCACATTAATTTACATCCATACATGTTCAACTATCTTTCCTGTATGATACATCTCTATAGGTTGCTATGTAATTACAACCCAGGGGTCTGACACCCAGCAAAAAAAAAAAAAAAAAAGCGCGGGTGGATAACATAGAGAAGGGAGAGAGAATCTGTAAGGACATAAATTGAATGAGAGACTTCAAAGAGATGCTGAGCACTGAACAAAGAACAATTATACCCCCGTCTGAGGAGCACAAAAGACCCCGGCAGCTTGGCTAATCAGCACCTATCCACCGCAGTCAAGGACTGCTCACACACATACACGCCTACACGTAAACACATGCAGACAAACACACACTATTGGCCACAGATGAAGAGAGTAGGAGGCCCTGGGCCTTGCAGATGTGTTTTCAATGACACGGAGGAAGTCAAATCTAAAAGAGCTAATCCAACATACTATAGATGATATATAAAACCCCTCCAGGTGATGGAGTCATGCAGCTAACTACTCATGTTACCAATCACTCTTTCTGACAGTAAGCATTACGAACTTATTAATTCTTACTTTTATGCAGCTTGCCCACTGATACGTTATATGTAAATCTCATGTAAATAAACCCACCAAATAAAAATGATATAATGTGTTCAGTTCACACGCCATGACCAATGGGATTTGGATGTAAATCTAGGGCTGGAGAAAGGTAAAGCCTGCCATCCCGTGTTTCTCCCTCTGAGCCTCATCCCCCAGTGTGTATCAATAGGATTACAGAACTCCCATCCGTGTAGGAAGGACAGGCACTGACAGAGCTGCAAAGTTCCTAAAGAGGCATCATCAAAATGAAGACATGTTGTTAGTCAGGCTTTGGCACCATACACCGACATCACTGCTGATATCTTCACGGTCGCAATGCATTTTTTCAAATAGTGTTTTTTAAATTGATTTTTGATTGTAACAAAACGCAACCTTCAGCATCAACAAAAGAAACGTAGATGTATATATATACATGTAATAAATATATATATCATGGACTGTATAAAATAATGTACGACGGCTCCTGTTTTGAAGCCTTGAGTTTTTTCTTGTAGTCAGGAATGACCATATTTGGACAAGAGGTTGGGGCTGTAGTGGAGCGAGGGGTGGATTTAACTCAAAGAGTGTAGTGACGCCTTACAGACAGCCTGTCACTCAAGCTGCCCCGCTCTTAAATACGTGTAACTTTAAGCCTTAATAAAATGTAAATGGTTAAGTTATATAAAAATTCAGCCCCTGTACAGCTGTCATGAATATTGATAGTAGCTATAGAGACCAAAACAGTTTTTTCTGCCAGGTTGTAAACATGTTTATTTCTGCTGTAAAGTTGGGCATTTTAACATGGAGGTCTATGGGAATTGACTCACTTTTGGAGCCAGCCTCAAGTGGCCATTAGAGGTACTGCAGTTTTTGGCACTAAGACGTTGGCTCCATTTTTCAGCCCTGGAGGTTGCTGATTGATACATACACACAAAAAATCCCACCCCAAACCAACAACAGGCACTCCAAGATATAAAAATTAAATTGAAAGAGGAAAAAAAGAAAAAGATAAAAAATATTAACAAATAAATTGTCTGTGAATAAATCAATCAATAGCACTTGCAGATAAAACAATTAGTCATTGCCTTCCAGGGACAAGCAAGTCAGAGTCTCTGCAGGAAGGAATGAAAGGGTTTCCAAAGGATGATTTGGACGATTTATGATTGAGATGAGTCACTTTCTCCACAGCGAGAGTAGCCGTTATCTGTGATAGTCACATGCCAATCGTGGGGACCTGCAGAGCAGACCACCGCACCAACATTTTAAGTTTTGTTCCTGTATAGAAGTTGAAGTACATTTTGACAAGATTCTGTTGCAAATCTTGGTCCAATCTGCAGAACTAAGTGTAACCTCCAGATCCCGTTCGGCTTCAGGGAATCATAAGATGAAGAATCAGAGTACTACAGTAGGGCATAAATCTCTGAGATTATTCTCTTGAGAGGTTCGGCCAGGACCATGGCAATTTCTAATCCTGACAGGTTCAAGCGGATCCTGTTCTTCCTAAAAAGATATTCTACAAAGTGATGAATTTTGAGATATCTGTGAGAGTCTTTATGAGGATTTAGATAGTGTAACGTAAAATTTAAAATCACCACGGCTCACACTGTTGGAGAGGATATTTGCAACCGAATGTCAGTGATTGTAAACAAAAAGTTAATTTGCCTGGATTATGTCTTATCTCCAGTTTTAATCATGGGCCAGGTTACTGAGGAGCACATATAAAACCCCTCATATCTACAGGCCCGTTGGTAAATTGATATGTCAAATCCCATTTATCAGTTGATTAATCACTGCAGGGGGAGTGAAATATGATGAACGATGGCATCTTGTGTCCATCCGGCCTGCTCACTGTTGAAGTTCTCACACAAACTTCCAAAATCTGTCCAGCAGTGCAGAGGGAGCCTGTTGCACTGCTTCAGGGCATTTAATTAGATGATGCCAAAGATTCACCCTTGATTTAAAAACCGGGGACTGCTCTGCATGCAAACGACAGGGACTAATAATACCACACTGTTTGTGTCTTACAGGTATTCCCCCCACCACCCCCTCTTTATTTTTTCTTTCCCTCTCCTCCTGGGAGTTAAAGTAGGAACTGAGTCCATTTACAAAAATAAAAGACTCAACATGAGCCGCTAAGAATACTCCATGAGAAGCCAAACGACAGCAGCGGCAGCTATTCCTGGACCATATGGCATGTACTTGGGCAACCATGTTGGGACCATATGGCTGGTTTGGGTCAAAGATCTGTTCTGGTTGCTCCCCTGCATGGCACACCTTATGGCAGGTACATGAGAAATCTGTTAAGACAAGGGGTTCCCACACCTCAGCATGTTGGGTGGTTGATGACATTATGGAGTATAAGTCAATCAGTACAAAAAGAAATACTTTTAGAAATCCCACAGACATAATTAAAAACAGTAGGGTTTTTTTTTTTCAAATATTTAGACATCAGATGGTAAAAAATAAGAACTGGGCTGGGGAAAAGGAAAAAACCCAGGATTGTTTTCTCTTTATTTTCTGTAGCGATGAAGATGATTTTTTAAGATCAGAGGGAAAACTGAGGCACCTGACCCTTCCAACCCAGGAGAGTCTTGATGACCTAAGAATGCATTTACTAATTAGGTGCCATGGTGCTTGAGATGCAATGCTGTTCTCTAGGAGAGCCGAAAACATAAACACACAAACCAATTACCTTGGCAACAACCTCCCACCTCATCCATGTGCCACAGCGACATGTGGCTTTACCTGCTCCGACCTTCCCCCCACAGGAATGATGACACAGGGAAGACACAAGGCACACACACACACACACACACACACACACACACACACACCATTATAGATCTATAAATGCACACAAACTAAAGGACGGTAGCTCAAACAAATCAATGAAATCATTAAAATAATAATTGGCTTCTTTTATACGTTGTGTGTCTCCTGAATGAGGTCAGATCCAGACAGCGCTCCATTAAAAAGAAGAGTGCACTCAGGTTCAGTTGGTAAAAAGTGAAAACATCAGAGGGATGTGTAAATGCACTCACTGGGTGTCAAGTTAATTTTCTGTCGATGTCACAATACGTCCGCACTAATACTGATCCATCTGGCTTGCGTGTGAATTAAAAGGCTGTCGGAAAGGGGAGTTATTTTTACTGTGTGGAGTGAAAGCTAGCTAAGCAGAGAAAATCTTCGGGGGTTAGATTGCTCCCATTTGGCTAGTGGTGTAAACATTGGAAGGCACTGCAGCACCTCCTCCTTGGCCGGAGCCCAGAGTGCACTTTGAATATTCAGAGAGGGCGAAGCTCTGAATATGCCACAGGGACTGCTAAGAGTGCTCTGATTTAACCAATCAGCCAGAGTGGAGGCAGAATACACAGTCGCAGTGCAAATCTATAGAAAGATAAAATTTTCAGCTTTGCAACATGACTTCAATAAGCTTGAAGTAAAAGCACTGACCTCAGAAACAGTCATATTCACATGCTCAATTGGCTTATTGCTTCAATGAATGGCATTTAATTGACATGGTGAAGCTATCAAAAGGAAGGACGCGCCACTCCACTCCACTGACTTAGCGCCTACAGTAAGTGTGTCCTGCTTTTTCAGTGTCGAGAGCGCTCTGTGGACATTCAGGGAGATGTTCTGACCAGATGGACTTTCAGCAGCGCTTTAAATTAACCAATACTTCAGTGTGAAAACACAGTACAGAGCTGCAA